TAATACGTGTCATCGCTGCTGTGACATTTAGCTTTCCCCACTGAGGAACAATAAAGGGATTTTCTATTCTATTCATCTATCTGCAGCCTTTCCAGTTCCTGTTTTACTGTAAGTTAAAGCTTTGCTCACGGGCCATCAACAAAATTAAAATATAATTTTATCTTAAATGAAAATGCAATGTCTCACCTGTTAACTTTCATGTTTTGGAGCAGAAAAAGAGCATAAAACCAAAAATATTTAAAGCTCAGTTTGCTCCACTGGTTTACTGTGATGCTCACCTGTTCCAGCCAGATACCTGCATCATGGGGTTGATCTGAGCTGAGGAGGAGACTCCTGTTGTTTTGTTCATCTTCATCATAATAATGACAACATTAGATGACAACAGGTGCTCACATAGGTTTGTGCTGGTGAGCATGGAGAGCGTCTGAGCAGCTTGACCACGTTGTGTGTCGGGGAGGAAAAATAAAACTACAGCAGCCACAGAGTCATGGTGATTTGAGCGTGTCGCTGCTTGCTGGAGTTAAATCAGCTCTGTCTGGAAGTTAGTTGTAAAATGCTCTCTTTCAGTTGTGAATACGTCACTGAGCAGTTAAAATCTCTGTTTCTGGGCTTCAACATCAGCAAATAGCTGAGTAAACTCGGCACTGAGTGAGAGGAGTGTTTAGTTTGTCCGTTTGCCTTGAGACCACTCTTAATGGGATTTGGTGCTATAGAATAGAATGCCTTTTATTGTCACTATACACAAGTACAATGAGATTTAAAGCAGCTGCTTCAGTGCAGTCAAACACAAACAGCAAAAACAATAAATAAACAAATGGTGCAAAGTTGCGTTATATACATGATGGATATTGCAGTTATGGTCAACAGCATATAAATATTGGATACTGCACAGACTGATGAGCAAAAGGGAGACCTGAAGTCGGGTCATGTCAGTGCATGTGGGAGTGTAAAGTAGTTATGACTACTGGGGGAAAAAATTTTCTTGAGTCTGTTTGTCCTAGTTGTGATGTATCCGTAGCGCCTCTTCTGCTCTGCCACGGTGCAGCTGCCAAACCATACTGTGATGCAATAGGTCAGCAGGCTCTTGATGGATGATTGGTAGAAAGTCAGTAGCAGGTTGGAGTTCAGGTTGTGCTTCCTGAGGACCCTCAGGAGGTGTAGCCGCTACTGAGCCTTCTTGATGATAGCTGTGATGTTGTCTGTCCAGGAGATGGCAGCAGAGATGAGCACGCCAAGAAACCAGAATCTATGGACCCTCTCCACACATTCGCCATTGATGAAAAGGGGGCTAACTCGGTACTGTCCCCTGAAATCCACGATGATCTCTTTAGTTTTCTTGATGTTCAAAGCCAGGTTGTTCTATGAGCAACAAGCTGACAACTTCAGCACCACTTTTCTGTAATCTACCTATTCACCCTTTGAGATGAGTCCAATCATTGTTGTGTTATCAGCAAACATAACAACATGATTGCTGTTGTGGGCTGGACTGCAGTCGTGGGTGTAGAAACAGTACAGGAGGGGGCTCAGCACACAGCCTTGAGGGGAACTGGTGTTCAGTGTCAGACTGGCTGGCTGGAATTCAAGGAGTTGAGCTTGTAAAGAGCGTGGTTTCACAGACGCGTAAGTGGTAGCGTCGGTGAAACGCCGGCTCGCGGTTTGATCTAGGAATCCCCGAGCGTCAATGAAGTGACACGGAGATGCTGGGTTTTCTAGAGGTAAGTGAGAGCACTTACTGTGAGCTGATAGTTCGTAGGATGGATAAGTTGATTGGAAACTCTGATCATGGATCTGAAGAAATGATAACTGAGTGGTGAGCTGGGGAGGCGACTTCCGTATATAGTCGCGGTTAGTGACGTAGGTGTGACGTGGAGGGAATCCCTGCGAGGAGCATGCTGGGAGTTTTGGTCCAGAGTGGAGACCGGCTAGCTGGAAGAGGCTGGTTTGGGGACTTGGGCTCTGAAATTCAGTGTGCGAGTGGAGGAGAGACGGGGTCCAAGTCTCACAGTCTGGAGGCAGTTGGTGAGAAAGTCCTTTATCCAGTCACAGGTGAGAGAGGGACTCTGACGGTGATCAGTTTGTTGATGAGAATGTCAGGAATGATTGAGTTAAAAGCTGAGCTGTAATCCACAAAGAGCATCCCAACGTGGCTCTGCTGCTGCTCCAGGTGGCTCAGCACATACAAATAAACTGAGTTGAATTGAATTGAAGCCGCCGATATTTTTCAACAACTTGGCAACACTTAAAGGAGCCAGATCATGTTATTTTAAATCTTTGAGAGCAAAGGTAGGCAGCATATATGATGAAAATGGATCTTTATCACAATTAAGATGTAATTTATGAGTTATTTTTGTCAGTCTGATTTTACAACCGAAAATAAAACTTTATTTCAGTGAAGCTCCGCCAACCCCGTTTCGACAAAACGCACCTACAAGAGCGTCTTAGTCAACCTTGCTGTTGTATTTGTCTTGGTAGTCCAGTGGTCTAAGTGCATTCCTTGGCAGTCACACCGCTGGGCTACCAGGTGTGTTACAAAACAATAGTCGCCTAACATACATATCCTGTGCTGGCTATTACGTGCATCTCTGTAGACAGGATGCATGGTTTTTATGGTGGTGTTTTGTCCCCGATGCAGAAGTAATTTGTCAGAATCAAGGTTTTAATAGTTTAGCGTTTTATTTTATTTTATTTAGTTTTTACATCAAACTATTGATTCTGTTTGGTTTTAACTGGTATTTACAACTTGTTAGTTTTAGTTGAGTTTTTATTTTTTGAAAATGCTTTGTTTCAGTTTAGTTTTTTATAGGTTCAGTTATAGTTTTAGCATTTATTGTAATATTAGTTGCATATCAGGGACAAGAATGAATAAAACAATGGAAACTGTTGTGTGTAACAAAATCCCAGATAAGATAAAAACAAATCTTTATTACACTGTGTGCCAAAAAGAACCAAATGATGGAAGTAACTGACCCTGCTGTTAAATGGAGAATCACCTGTAATTAACCACTGTTTTTGTAAATCCAGCGAAGCCTGATCACAACCGGACAAATCATCTAAATAAAATCTGTGTGACAACATGAAGAAGCCTAAAAGATCTCATGAAGCAACAGAACAAGCTTTGTTTTTGAGCTTGTAACACACAAGACTAAAACGTATAAGCGTCATCGGGTGTAGGGGCGATCACCTTTTCACACAGGAGTACTAGGGTGGTTTAAACAGCGTTCATCCCAAAATATATCAAATCTAACTTAAAAACTGCATTTTGAATTTACTCAGATTGTAACAGTTTCGTACTGAAATCTATTTCCTGATTTCAAACAACAACAAATCAGAAAAGCAAAAGCAGGTGAAAGTCTGTAAGAATTATGGTTTGATCGTTTTGTACGTAGTTTTTCTTAGTGTGACGAGTTTAGAATTGTGTCGTACATACGATGGATGCTCTTTGGAAGAAGGCTGTTTAACAGTGATTTAATTTCCTATGCAGATGACACCCAGCTCTACTTCTCTATCCAACCAAACCCCCCGCTCCTTTCATCCTCCCTTCTCAGTTGCCTCACTGAAGTCAAATCCTGGTTTTCTTCTAATTTTCTACAGCTCAACAGCAATAAGACTGAGATCCTCCTCATTGGCACCAAGTCATCTCTATCTAAGACCAGTTCATTCTCACTCAGCTTCGACAACACCGCTCTTCTCCCCAAAGCCAAAGCTAAGAGCTTGAGTGTCATCTTAGACAACACCTTATCCTTCATTCCTCATATTAACAACACAATAAAAACTGCTTATTTTCATCTTCGCAATATCAATCGGCTCCGCCCCTCCCTCAGTCAGCACTCCACTGCTATTTTGGTCCACAGCCTGGTCACCAGTCGCATCAATTACTGTAATGCCCTCCTCTCCGGTCTCCCTCTAAAATCACTCAACAAGCTACAGTTAGTCCAAAATTCAGCTGCCCGGATAATCACTAAGACCTCCACTTTTGATCACATCACCCCTGTCCTGCAACAACTTCACTGGCTCCCTGTCAAATACAGAATTGACTATAAGATACTTCTTTATGCGTTTAAAGCCATCCATAATCTCGCTCCCCCTTATCTTTCTAATCTCCTCCACATTGTCACTCCCACTCGCTCTCTCTGATCATCATCTTCACCTTCCCTGTCTATTCCTCGCACTCGTCTCTGTACTATGGGAGCCAGAGCTTTCAGCCACTCAGCTCCAAAACTCTGGAACACTCTACCGCCTGACCTCCGCAATATAAACTCTTTCTCAGCCTTCAAGTCTCAACTCAAAACTCACATGTTCCGCCTGGCTTACTCATTGTAACTGACCTCCCTCAATCTACTCTTTTTAGTCTATTATCCATTGCACTGCTCTGACTCTACCCTTGGGAATTACTCTTCGCACTTATTTCTTGTTGTTTGTATTGCTTGCTGTTCCTTATATTTTATCTTGTACAGTGACTTTGAGAGCTTTGAAAGGCACTTGAAATAAAATGTATTATTATTATTACTCTTATAGATCTTTTAATTAAAAAAAGACTCATTTAAGTGAAGGATTGGGTGCACAATCTGATTTAAAGCAAATCATTTATTCAAATATTTATCCACTTTACATTCTGAAACACAGTTTTAGTTTTTCTCCATCTTTTGAAACTTGAGTCAACAGATTACTCTTCTCTACCTCCAAAGCCGCTTTGCGTCTGACAAATGTTTAATGAACTTAAACTCCAATCTGCGTCGGACAGATGGGAGGACGCAGAAGTATCAAAAAGGGGGGAAAAATCAGGCGTCAAACTATTACTGTTGAGAAAATTAGATGTTCTTTTGCTTTTTAACCAATTAGAGATGAAATGTTCTTTTGCTGGGAGACTTTTTTCTCTAAATACCTGCAACTAATTCAGTCAGGTGGAAAATAAATATCAGTTGTGCTTGTGAACGTTAGTATTTTTTCACCTAACAGATGACCGTGAAGGAGAGAAAAGGGAAATGAAGGATTTCACGCACCTGTCTGTCGTTGCGTTCTTCGAGGTTTCCTACGACCTTATAGTCACCCTGAGGAACACAGAAGTCAATGGGTGAACACTGGCATACACACTTTAGAAAACATCCAAATTACACACAAAAACTTCCAACAAACTTTAAAAGTGTTTAATTTATCAAGAATTAGTCAAACAAGGATTTATTCTTATTTAACAAAGGCTCGTTAGTTCATAAATGGATTAAAACAGAGTTTTTAAAGGATATGTCAGGACAGTGTAAGTGTAAACAGAAAGGATGAAATTGTATTAAAAACCCACTAGGATTATTGTGAAGAATTCTATTGCAGTTATTGATATATCATCTATATTAGTTTAGTTTAAAGTGTGCAGAAAATCCTCCTACGAACTAATATCTATGAACAGTTGTTTTTATTAAAAATAAATATTTGTACTAAATAACAGATTTAACTATGTGTGTGAAAATGTGAACAAGGAACTCAGCACCTGCTGTTTAACAGGTAAATATTTAACAGGCTGCAGGGCATAAACACAATGCACCCAGCATGTTGTACAGATGGAGACATTAAAGGTTCCTTCAACGCACCCCTATGGAAGGTTAAAGTTGCAATAGCTAATTTGGAAAACTAATTAGCTTAAAACTTTTTTTCATGTTTCTTAACAACATTTTAACATGGTATATAAATGGTAAATATGTTGTGGAGATTAAAAAAATAATAAAATAACAACATTTTAAAAAATTTATGAGGTGGTTCTCTCACATTTGTCTAAAAACCTCCACCAATAACATGTTTTGGACTGAACATCCGGTTGTTGTCTTAGCAACGGGAGCATGTCCAGGGAGTAGCCTGGGGTAGCACATGCCACCCATGGAATCTAATGGTTTCACCCAGCTGAATTCTCTTTAAATAGACTATTGTCAGCAAAAAGCTTGGGGTAAAAAAAATAAAAAATAAAAAAGCATAACCATAGGTACCACTCATGCACAAAGAAGTGCTCCACCTGGGCCACCCTGTTTTAAAAAGTCTGGGCATGCCACTGTTTAGCAGGAGAACACTGGTGTGAGAGGTACAAAGCTCAATAATATCAGAGGAGAAACAACCGGCTGCTACCACTTCAACTTTAGGACAAACTACCAGAGTCACAAAAAAAAAAGCCATTTGAAGTCACGGACAACAAAAGAAGTTTAGACCTAGAAAATGGCAACTGGTGTTTAGCGCTCTCTCATTGCGTCCAGCATTACGGGTTTCCGGTTCCAGCAGAAGCATATCAAGGAAGATACCCAAGGGAAGGGGGGATTGTTCCGTGACCATGTTTGCGTTCAAAACCTAGCTTGTTCTTTGGATTCATTATAACTTTCCATTACTACCTCCTTGTGTCTGTTGGACAATCAAAGGTTTTCTGTAGTTCTTAAATAAAGATGTTTCCAAATATGGTTTTAACAGCAGGTTAAATGTAAAATGTTTATATTAACCATAGAAACGTTACTGCAGCTACCAACCATTTATTCCCTGGTACAGAGACTCAACATTTACCAACAACAGTATAATCCATTTCTTAAATGGGAAAATCCCAACAAAGCAGACACTAAATATCTAATAAATAAAATATAATAAATCCCATTTCCCAAAATTAAGAACATTTTCTAAACCTTTAGTAAACACAGAATTGTTATTCAACACACACAAAGAAGGCATGTTTCACCCTCATACCATCACAGATTATGTCCTCTGCTAGCCTAGAATCTAAAACGTTACTTGCCGAAGCAAAATGGACGGTCTAGTAATGGACCTCACAGCCTGGCCAGTGTTGTGGCTGGCCAATCACAGTGCATTTACTTAGAAAAACTATGTATTTTTTTTATTTCATGTAGTTCTTCCACGATGTAATGGCAGACTGCCCCGTTGGCTGACAATCATAGTGGTCAAATCACAGAGCTCCATTGGTTTGGTGAGCCAATCACAGCACTCTGCTGATGGGCAGGACGTTACTGATGAAACAAAGATGGCGATGACTTGTTTGAAAAGGCTTTGGCATCAACTTTGGACTATTTTCTCTTGCGCTTTTCTTTGAGTCAAGAGCAGATAAAGGTACTTAAGTTTATTTCGATAAAGGGTGTATTTGCATCTTCTTCGACAGAGTGTGATGGACTGCCTCACTGACTGACATCTATAACGGTGAGTACATGACATTGTTCGTTATTCAATAACATGTGGAGACAGTTTTAAACACAACCATAGATCCCGCCCCACGATTGAGAGCCATCCATGAACTGTGGCCAGACAAAAAATTTACAGATGGGTTACAGATAGGTTGTCAGGCTAATGATTTGCACAGATTTTGAGGCAACCAAAATTATCTTTTCATTTTATTTTTTTAATAGTTTTCAAGTGAAATAATTTTATATCTTCCAAGTCTGAAAATACAGCTGAAACTCAAAAGAATAGAGCATCATTCAATAAAGGGACCCAAATAAGGTACTGAGTACACATGTATGAATATACTTTTTCAGAGGTCCAAAATTAAACTATTTAAATCCCAGTTTTAATGATTTCATGTAATATTCTAAGTGTCTGACCTTCTGAATGTGGGGTTTTCATTAGCTGTAAGCCATAATCATCACAATTATAACAAATAAAGACACTGACACTAGTCAGTGACTTGATACAATCTGCTGGGTTCCTTATAGGAATGTTTTTACTGATTGGCTTAATGAACTGACCTGTATTGGAATGTTTACTGTGTGGAGTGCCTTGAGACGACTCTTGTTGTGATTTGGCGCTATATAAATAAACAGAATTAATTGAAATTCTGGATTTGATTGTTTTTGTTCTAAGAGTAAACTATCAAAAGATTTCCTTCTTTAAAAACATCCAATAATATAACACATTTATTTCATGCTCTGACTGAATTTATTCTCTCCTACCACCAAGTTTCCACTCACTGCTGATTAAACGAAAGTGTAACACATTAAAATAAACTGCTTTGTCATGGGACTCTTAAACCTCACACTTACATCGTGAAGAGGGAAGGCAGCATCATACACGCCTTTGGCTATTAATGTGCTGATACCTGGAAAAGACATGAGAGAAACCCAAAAGAGCACATCAATATCATTCAGGAAGGGCCTTCTTCCTGACGTGTATCGTGTCCTGCAACCTTAGCAGAAAGGTCATTTCAGATTTACAGTGTCAAAGTAAAACACAACTCAACTCAGTTTATACCATCACTGCAGATTAAAACAAGTCACACACACTTCAATGGAAGGGTAATGTTTCTGAGACTATAGTCACAAATTCATGGGACACTTTTTTCATGATATTTTCTGCAAGAAAATAGTCCAGATTACTATTATTAAAGGGATAAATTTGTAAGAATACAAATCAGAATATTTGCTGACATTTTACATTTATGATTTTGTATTCTTAATTTCAAGATTAAAGTCGTTAATTTGAAAGAATATCTTCAATATTTACTGAGGTTATGATGCAACTTGGCACAGAAAAACAAATGAATAATTCTCAGGAAAGAATATGAAGAAGAAACATCACAGAAAATATGCATTCAGTGACCCTTTCACATTGTTACTTACGACTGTTTATAGCCAACAGCAGCCATTAGTCACAAACGATCTTCCATTTTTTTTATTAATCTGAGCTTCTTTAGATATTTGACTTTTTATATGATTTTATAATCTCAGTAAATATTTGATTTTCATCTTGAATTTAAGACTATCCCACAAATTTGTTTACTTGTGCCTTTTACTACGGAGATCGTCTCTCCAACATCAGCAAGTATCTTGGTTGTTCTCACATTTATGTCTCTAAACTTGTAGTTTCATGGATTTTTCTCTGAATTTTGCCCCCTAGCTTTGGTATTTTTACTGGCACTTATGGATTCTTCTCATCAACTAGATTCTGTTATATTTTACGATCAAGCAAGAGACTCACGAAACGGCAGCTGAGGTCTTTCATAAAAGTGATCTAATCACCAGAACCTGAAAAGGACTGGTAACTAAACAGTTAATAGCTGTGCTATTAACAAACATCCCAGCCAAGAAAAACACATCTACATGCATGACTGCACACTCAACCAGCCAGAACAAACCACAACTCCCAGAGGTCCTTGCTTCAATCTCAGTCTGACCCAAGAAGCATGACCCACTTGTGGAAGACTCGGAATGGAGCAAACATTGTGTGTGTAGCAACTTTTTGTTACCTCTTTAGGACCTACCTCGTGGAGCCCAGGAGTCCTCACGGGGACCATAGCCCATTTCTAATGTAGAAGAATGTCATTTTAAGGTTAGAATTAGGGCTAAAGTGTGAATTGCGTTCAGGTTAGGAATGTGCTGGTTAAGGTTAGCATTTGGATTCTACAAGTTAACGTGTGTGTGTGTGTGTGTGTGTTTGTATGTATGCCACATTTTTGCTCCAAGTATGATGAGAAATTTAAAAAAAGGGACAGTAGAGAGAAATGAGCCTCTACTTTCTTTGCCCTTCTTTCCCTGCAGCTCCACCAGTACACCCGCTGGCTGAAGCCGTCTGCCGTGACGGGTCAGCCAAGCAGACATATGGTTGGACACCAGAATCTAGTCTTGTCTCTTTTTGTCCCTCAGAAATGCATGGGCTGGTGGCAAAGGGACTCGACTGAGAACATCACATTTTTTGTGTCAATCTAAGATGCAGTGATGTCATATTTGGATATTCTGGCACGTCAGGTTGCATCGTAGCATTTTGCTTACAACAACTTGACACTGCTGTTGAAGTAACCCAACACGTTTAATTGCTCATTGTCCCGGTGGACGTGTGAGGTTGAAGGAACTGGTAATGAGCCACTGTCTTTCTGGGAACAGTCGAACATGACAAAGGTGTTGCTACTGAGCAACAATTCCCAAAGAAGTAACAGTGAACAGAAGAAGATGTTCCTCCGTTTATCTAGTCTTTGTTTGAGTTTAAATTTTAAGCTAAAACCTGCCAGGTACTCAGATGTAGCACCTGTTGTTGCTACTGTATACTCTTTATAACGTAGCCCGTGGTTCCAGTTCAAACCTCCGGTCACAAATAGAAAACAATTTGCCCTCCTGAGGTTATTCTGTTTGTTCTCACTGACTCACCCGATACTCTTAAGTGATCAGTGGCTCAGCATATCTGCTAAAAGTATCACAAAGAGCCAACATTAAGCTAGTGCCAGCTTGCTTTTATACCAGGTGCATCACTGTCAAAACATGACTTTAGTACATTTTATTATGCCAAAAAATACTTTTAAACTTTAAACTGCTTCCTTGAAAGGAGAGGTAAAATGTTGCTGCACTTTCTGCAACCAGAAAAGAACACGGTCATCTGATATTTTGAGCACAGTTTTAAAGACCGTTAGACACAAATGTCTTCAAAGCAGACATAAATGTAAACTTCTGTAAGCTCTTCCTGATCCACTTCCAGTTTTCTCACCAATAGTTTGACAGGTCCGCACGCAAACTGTCCGTCTCAGGATCTCGTACACCTGTGGAGTATTTCATATGGTTAGACTGGGACAGTTATTCCAGAAGACCAGTCACAGGATGAACAAATGACTACATGAATAATTACTTACTATTCTGCCTCGTGTAGCATTATCAAAGAATGTCTCTTTAGATGTGATGTTGTATCTGAGGGAAATACAACCAGTGGATTAAATACTGTTACGTTGCTAAAAATGCAGCTGGTAGACATGAAGCCACAGGGGATGAGAAAAGGCCCCCATAATACAACTTCCTTTGGCATTGATGTCTTTTTTCCCCCATAGGTCAAATTGTTCAAGTGCGAAATATACTGTAGTTTCCTGGAATGAACGAAAGTTAACTGAGAAGCAAATGGTTGCAGCAGCTGGTGTGTCACGATGGTACAGGGGGGTTACTAGTGGGTCCCAACATATACCATTGTTGTTAAAATGTATGTGTGTGTGTGTGTGTGTGTGTGTGTGTGTGTGTGTGTGTGTGTGTGTGTATGTGTGTGTGTGTGTGTGTGTGTGTGTGTGTCTTACAGGTGAAGCTTCTCCCGTGAGAAGCAGTGTGACAGGAATTTGGTGCTTCCATGGTCCTGGTGAAATACTTTGGGCTGGAACGGCTGGTTGAGTTTCCTCCAGACGGAGCTCAGTCTAGACCCAAAACCTGTTTCTTCTTTGAGTTCATAACTCTGAAACAACCACCACCACAGCACCGATGACTTTAGTACATGAGTTACACACTCAGTTCAACAGTTTCAAGTTTTGACGATGGAAAGTTTGGAAGGAACAAACATGCATCAGTAAAAAGGTAAATGGTCTGTATTTGTTTAGTGCCTTCTTAGGGTTCTACAACCCTACAACCTTCCAACAACCCTACCTCCTGAGCTACTGCTGCCCAAGTAGTAAAGTGACTTATTACCGTCTTGGTAGGAACTTTGACTTTGAGAAACTCAGCTTCTCTGCACAATACAGGCCAAGGGGCATGGATCCGAGTAAAGCTGAGTCCATGGGCCTTTACCTACAAAACAAACAAGAAGATATTGTTAATTACACAATAAAACACAGCTGAAAACCTTCACACCATCCTGCCAAAGTGGAGCTCAGATATGATCCCCAGAGATCCAAGTTGATATTTTAATGAGGAGTGTACTCTAGTAATTGAGTCTATGAAGAGAAGCAGCTACAACCAGTACTTGAGGAAACCAGTTTGGACATCATCTCTGATCTGGTGTTAATGAAAGATGGATGTGGTGTCTGTTCCTAAAGCAAAGCCTGGAGCTGTAACTGTCACTATCTTGTTGTTGCAGCCCGCTCTGACACACATTTTAATTTGGTCTGACAGAAATCAGCCATTGAGTGTCATTAAGCCTCCCCTACCTAATTCTGCTAATAAATAATGATGTGATGTCCACATCAATAATAATAATAAGAAGAAGAATTGGATCTGTTACTGACTTCAGGATACAGCCGTGACCAAATTTCAAGTGTTGGTTGTCACTAAGGCTGTTGCTTCAGGCTTTTCACATATTTTTGTCAGATGTTTCTATGGTTTCTGAAGTATAAATATTTTAGGTCATTTTAGAGCTTTTATTGACAATTATATTGAGTTTATGTGAATAATCTAAATATTTACAGTTGTGGTTCAGACTTATCCACTTCACCATGACATGTCAATCGAGTTTTGGACACATTTCTGACTGATGGAAGCCCTTTCTTCATAGCATTTTATCAGAATTTGGGGGATTTGGTTTTCTACCTTCCCCTTTGAGATTGACAAAAGTTCTCAGTATGATTCAAGTCTAGGGAGTTTTCTGGAGTTGGATCTGTATCTACTATGTTGATGCTCAGTTATCCAACCCACTTAGTTTTGATGTTAACCTTTTAGTACATTGTATAGTGTACCATCATGTTGGAAATACTTTGTTAATGACCAAACTGTTCTGGATTGTTCAGAGGAGTTCCTCTTGGAGGATGTTTAGGTACCATTCTTTATCCATGCAGTTATAAGGCTAAACTGTGCGTGCATTCTCTTGGTTGAGATGCAACCCCACACATGAATGTTGTCAAAAGGCCAGAGTGTCCATCATTCCTTCTGTAGAAAATCCATTTTCCACATGCCCCAAACATTTAGAAAGGGGATTAATCAGAGACAATGATTTGTCCCAGTCCACAGTAGTAAAATCCCAGGACCATTACCATATTATGAGTCTGTCCCTGGTGTTTTTCTTTCTTTGCTGCCATTGTTGGTACCAGGCCATCCTCCATAAGTCCTTTCTTTATGATGCTACAGTTCTATTCACCTGCCTGCTGAACAAGCTCCTATCCCAAAGGTCAGAGTCAACATTAGGAGACAGACCTGGTGCTGTTGGAGTTTGCTGGGCATCCTGAAGCTTTTTTCACAAATGTAGTGGAAACATTTCCCCTCTTTGTTCTGTAATTCTTTCTTTTTTAAGATTTTCATATTTCAGATATCCATTTGATGGCAATGTGTCTATTCACTCGTCAAAGCCATCAAACTGCCAACTTAAAAACTGCGGCTCTAAACTGTGGCCATTACAGAACCAGGTGACAGTTCAACTGGAAGTTATGGACAGGCGGTAGGGGACGGCAGCCAGGTAACTTTAGCCTCCTCAGACCCCCTTCAGTCCCTGTAAGGGTGGGGGTGAGGGTGAAAAGAGAAAGGTGGCATTGCCAATGATGGAAACCCGAGACCATTCCCTTTCTCCTCTTCGACTCCTACTCCCTGGAGATCTTTCATTCCCCTTCAGCGCACCCCCCCACCCCCCTCTGCCCTTACTTATGTTACTGCGCTTTCTGCTGCTGTATGAGTAGATGTCGCTGACTGATTGACTGACAGGCTGTCTCACTGCCACTCCTACTCCTCTTATATTCGATTACCATCTTTCTCATCCACATCAACATCGTCCTCAGTCGCGCACAGGGGTTCAGTAACCTTTGTCCCTCTTTAAATTAAATGCACAAGTTATATCACAGCCAGCTAAAGGATTTTTGAAAAACCTGTAGAGTTGATTTGAATCTTTTTACACCACTGAGGTCCATCTGTACACAATGGAGTCTGGAAATTGTCTCAGACAATCAAAGTAAACTAGTATTTTGTATCACTTTGAAGCCAAACATTGTGTTCATGTTGGCAGTTTTCTATTTTGAGATGTGTGTTATTGTGCTCTAACCAATCAGTAACCACTAGCAACCCATGTTCATTTTTCTCTCTGCCAAAGTAGAAGCTGAAAGAGGGAGGTATGCTTTCAAAGGCAACTGTTTCTCTGACAACAGTATGTAAAAAGCATGATTAAAGCTACAAAATACATTATAATTCAGTGCATTATTTATTTATTTATGTATTTTTTTATTTTAAAGGAGCTGTCAACTGATCACCACCTGGTGGTGAGTTGGATTTTGTTTTAATTTTGATTAAATTTTAATTTTTAGATACAGATTTTCTTAAAATGTCTTAGTATAAAGGTAGATATATATGATCAAAAAATTGCTAGTCTCTGAGATTAGATTATTTGTTGTTATAGGAAAAACAAACACAATCACATTTCACTGTTCTATTGGTAGCTTTAGGCATAGCTTTTCACATTAGTTTTTATAGATTTGAAGAACAATTTCGCCGAGCCTTGGCAGTCTGATCCCCGGACAAGGAAACTGGTTTTTGGGACATGGAACGTCACCTCGCTGGCGGGGAAGGAGCAGGAGCTTGTGGCAGAGGTTGAGCGGTACCGGTTAGATATAGTCGGACTCACTTCGACACATAGCATTGGCTCTGGAACCCAAGTCCTTGAGAGGGATTGGACATTCTCCTTTGCTAGAGTTGCTCCGGATGAGAGGCAGAGGGCTCGACTCTCTGCCTGAGTTTTGGGGTTTACCATGGGGGACAAGAGGGTAGCTTCCCTGCGCCTTTGGGTCGGGGAACAGGTCCTGACTGTTGTTTGTGCTTATGAGCCAAATATCAGTTCAGAGTACCCACCCTTCTTGGAGTCCCTGGGACGAGCGCTAGATAGTGCTCCATCAGGGAACTCCATAGTCCTGCTGGGGGACTTCAATGCTCATGTGGGCAATGACAGCATGACCTGGAGGGGTGTGATTGGGAGGAACGGCCCGCCTGATCTGAACTTGAGTGGTGTTTCATTACTGGACTTCTGTGCAAGCCGCAGTTTGGCCATAACGAACACCATGTTCGAACATAAGGATGCCCATCGGTACACTTGGTACCAGGAAAGCCTAGGTCGCAGGTCGATGATAGACTTTGTAGTCGTATCATCTGACCTGCGGCTGTATGTTTTCGACACCCAAGTGAAGAGAGGAGCGGAGTTGTCAACTGATCACCACCTGGTGGTGAGTTGGATCAGATGGCAGGGGAAGATGCTGCGTAGACCTGGCAGACCCAAACGCATAGTGAGGGTCTGCTGAAAACGCCTGGCAGAAGAACCTGTCAAGACGATCTTCAACTCCCACCTCCGGCAGAGCTTTGACCGCGTCCCGAGAGTAGTGGGGGACATTGACTCCGAGTGGGCCTTGTTCCACTCTGCGATTGTTGAGACGGCTGTTGCTAGCTGTGGTCGCAATGTGGCCGGTGCCAGTCATGGTGGCAACCACCGGACCCGCTGGTGGACACAAGAGGTTCGGGGAGCCATCAGGCTGAAGAAGGAGGCCTACAGGGCATGGCTGGTCTGTGGGTCTCCGGAGGCAGCAGACAGGTACCAGATAGCCAAGCGGGGTGCAGCAGTGGCAGTTGCTGAGGTAAAATCTCGGGCGTGGGAGGAGTTTGGTGAGGCCATGGAGAAAGATTATCGATCGGCTCCAAAGAGGTTCTGGCAAACTATCTGGCGCCTCAGGAGAGGAAGGCAGTAACTCACTCACACTGTTTACAGTGGGGATGGGGAGCTGCTGACATCAACTGGGGTTATAGTCGGAAGGTGACAGGAATACTTTGAGGAGCTCCTCAATCCCACCTACGCACATTCCGAGGAGGAACCAGAGCTGGGAGACCTGGGGATGGACTGTCCAATCTCGGGGGCAGAAGTTGCTGAGGTAGTCAAACAACTACACAGCAGCGGAGCCCCGGGGGCGGATGAGGTTCGTCCTGGGTATCTCAAGGCTATGGATGTTGTAGGGCTGTCATGGTTGACACGTCTCTGCAACATTGCGTGGTCATCGGGGGCAGTTCCTGTGGAGTGACAGACCGGGGTGGTGGTCCCCATCAATAAGAAGGGTGACCTGTGGGTGTGTTCCAAATATAGGGGGATCACACTCCTCAGCCTCCCTGGAAAGGTTTACTCCATGGTACTGGAGAGGAGGGTCCGATCGATAGTTGAATCTCAGATTGAGGAGGAGCAATGTGGTTTTCGTCCTGGCCATGGAACTGTGGACCAGCTCTATACCCTTGCAAGGGTGATGGAGGGGGCATGGGAGTTTGCCCAACCAATCCACATGAGTTTTGTGGATTTGGAGAAGGCTTGTGGCTGTGTCCCCAGGGGCACCCTGTGGAGGATGCTCCAGGAGTATGGGTTGGGTGGCTTTCTGTTAAGGGCCATTCAGTCCCTTTACCAGAGGAGCGTGAGTTTGGTCCGCATAGCCGGTAGTAAGTCGGACCTGTTCCCGGTGCGGGTTGGACTCCGCCAGGGCTGCCCTTTGTCAATGGTTCTGTTCATTACCTTTATGGACAGAATTTCTAGGCACAGCCGTGGTGTGGAGTGTGTCGGGTTTGGTGGCAGGAGAATCTCGTCTCTGCTTTTTGCGGATGATGTGGTCCTCCTAGCATCATCCAGCTCTGACCTTCAGCTCTTGCGGGGTAGATTTGCAGCCGAGTGTAAAGCGGCTGGGATGAGGATCAGCACCTCCAAATCTGAGACCATGGTTCTCAACCGGAAAAGGGTGACTTGCCAACTCTGGGTCGGGAGAGAGGTCCTACCTCAAGTGGAGGAGTTTAAGTATCTCGGGGTCTTGTTCACGAGTGAGGGTAGGAGGGATCGGGAGATCGGCAGGCGGATTGGT